GGCAGCAAGAGCCCAGCCCATCTGTTTAGAGGACGCTCAGCAGTTACTCCCAGGAAAATCCCTGCACTTCAGGAAAGGGAAACTGGTGAAAGGATTTGCTTGCCCAATCATGGCCTGGCCTGAGGAGGCAGTGCTCCACACTCCCAATTCCAGCTGGGGCCCCAGCCCTCACAGGCACCTCTTTGTTCTCCCTCCACAGGTACCTGACGCGCTGGGCTCCTGGCTCCGTCAAGCCCATCTACAAGAAAGGCCCCCGCTGGAACAAGGTGTGCATGCCCGTGGGGTCACCCCTCCTGAGGGACAATGTCTGCTACTCAAGAACACCTTGGAAGCTGTATCACTGACAGAGAGCAGGGCTTCCAGAGTTCCTCCTGCACCTGTGCTGGGGAGTAAGAGGCACACTCATAAGCCCTCGGCCACAACTATACTCCAGACCACGATGGCCTGGCCCCTTCGACATGGATGGACAGGGGACAGTGGGACTAACTTCAGTACCCTTGGCCTGCGCAGTAGCAATGCTGGGAGCTAAAGGCAGGCAGGGCAGTTGGGTCCCTTGCCAGGTGCTGTGGGGCTTGGGCCATGCTCAGTGCTGGGGACAGGAGTTTTTCCCAATACAGTGTCATAAACATTGAGTTGTGGACTCGTGGGCTTACCCACTGGGTGTGTGCTCACTGCTTGGGAAGTGCAGGGGGTTCTGGGCACATTTCCAGTTCAGTGCAGAGTGTTGAGTCACTGATCTCTTGTGATGGGGCCAATGAGTCAATTGAAAGGAATTCATGGGCCAAACAGGTCCCATCCTCTTCATGACAGCTGTGAGCTCCTTACTCTGGGAGAGCTGCAAGGAGCCAAGGTGGGCTACCTGACACACTTGCCGCTCTCGTGTGAATCCAAGAAACTGCCTTCCTCAAAGGGGCCCTGGTGGTCACTTCCCACAGCCATTTCACTCATCATTGTCTAGTATCTCTTTCATTAGCACATTCCAACCCTCTGCCACTTGGTGTAGAGATGAGCTCCCTGGCTCAGTGGGCCTTTCAGAACCTGGAACCAGATGGAGGTGGAGATAAGAAGGTAAGACAGAACAGGCGGGCCAAGTTCACTGAAGCTTAAGAAAATCATGTTTAGACTGTTTTTAAAAATCCAGGCTGGCTTCCATTCTATAGCATGAAAGGCAAGTCCATGTTCTTCTCACCAGTGCCCACGTAGATGTAGCCATAGTGCTTGGTGCGGGGAGCATGGTAGAAGGTGAGGCCTGGCCAGAGCAGGCTGCGCAGCACCACCAGGGCATTGCCCCTCTCCATCTGGATACTCCAGGACCCTGAGAGGAGACAGGCAGGAGGTGAGGCCTGGGTGCTGCTGGAGCCGGAGCTCTGCCCTTTGTGCTGTGGCCCCTGGCTCCTTGGGCAGCCAAGCCCAGGTGCTAAGGTTCCACTGGAGAAAGACCATTTAATTCTCCAGGTGCTTTACTCCCTGATTGCCTTTTAGCCATTATTATTTTCGTTTTAAGAGACATGGTCTCACTCTGTCGCCCAGGCTGGAGTGCGGTGGTGCAACCACAACTCAACCTCAGCCTTGACTCCTGGGCTCAAGCAATCCTCCCACCTTAGCCTCCAGAGCAGCTGGGACCATGGGCACGCACCACCATACCCAGCTAACTTTTTTGGTTTTTTGTAGAGATGGGGCCTCCCTGTATTACCCAGGCTGGTCTCAAACTCCTGGGCTCAGGGGATCCTCCCACCTTGGCCTCCCAAAGTGCTGGGATTACAGATGTGAGCCACCACACCCAGCCCTTTTAGCCATCTCACTGCTCATTAAAACAACTTTCAGGGGGAGGGCAAAGGAAATGAAAAGAGGTGAAACTCAAACCAGTCTGTTTTGTTCCTGTCAGCAGGTCTAGCTAAAGGTTGAGTTGGGGAGGAGGCTGAATCCACAGGCAGAGGGGAGTTGGGCTGGGCCAAGGGAGAGACACCGACTCCTCCCACACTACCCAGTACAGTCACCAGTTCTAGTGTGGTTTGCCCCTACTTGCCGTTTTGCTCTGTCTTCCCCATTTCCTGAAGCCTCTCCTGAGTTGGATTAGACCAGACCAGGAAAGGAAGGCTCAAATAGAAGTTTGGGCAGTTCAGGCCTCCTAGCTCAGTGGCCCTTTCTGGCAGCTGGTAGACTGGGAGCCATCCTTGGTGGGAGGAGACTTGGGCTGCCCCTAGTGAGCCTTTGTCCTAGGTTCTGCCCTGGTTTTTGCCTCCCCACACAGGAGCAGCCCAGCTCAGGGCTGAGTCGTGCAGCCATGAGGACTTGGCTGGAAGGGCCTGATTCAGCTCCAGAACCCAGGGAGGGAGCCACAGTGTGGGAGGAAGGAGCCTGGGAAAATCGCCTCTGGATGCAGATCTGGGGCTTCTATTCCCCTGCGCACTGAGGCCTCTCCCGGCCCAGCCACAGCCCTGCTCCAGGCCCTGCCAGAAAGGCAAATGCTTTGAAAGTTTTGGTGTTGGACCAGCCAGCCATGCGCTGAGAGCTGCTCTTCGGCCTTCATCAGCTGCCAGCTCAGCCCGGCTGCTTGGCTCCTGCTGCCCCAGCTTCCCACAGGCCACCTCCAGCCATGGTCCACCCTAGTCACTCCACACCCTGCAGCCTCACAACTCAGTCCCCACCCACTGGGGGCCACCCTGCATCCAAGAAACCTGATTGCCAGGAACCCCTGACCCTCATGGCAGCTCACCCCTACTCAGGGTACAGCCGCCTGCCCAGCTCAAAACCAGAGTTTCCTGGGAGTATATAGTTTGGCTGTCCCTGGTCCTGCTCAGGGAGAAGCCAGTCACAAAGCTTACTTTAGCACTGTGCAGTGGCCAGCACCAAGTGCCATCACCCATGCAAAGGTTGAAGTCAGATTCACAGTGTGGACTTGTCAGCTCCACACAGTACCTGCTGGACAACATCAAGAAGAAAGTAGAGTGTCCCTGTGTTAGCCGGGCTCCGGCCGGAACACTGCCCCGAGAAGGAGTATTTCCTCTGACTCTTAAAAGTTTTCTCTGGGTGCTTGGGGTCCTCTGCCTCTCAGACCTGCCCTCAGAGTTTGATAGTCCCTAGCCTGGTACTTTCCTGGTCATGCATCTCCAGAAAAGAGATTGCTTAGGGTTGATGAGGGTGGGGGGTCCAACAGGACAAAGTGTTCCTACTCCACTGCTTCAGCCTTGGACAAGAAGCACAGACCCAGGAAGATCCCATTCCCTCCCTTGATCAACCCACCAGCCTGGAGTATCGTCAGGGTTCAGACTCCATAGGACACAGTCCCTCAGCCCCTTGAACTAAGAAAGACCAGACTGCCTCATCTGTATCTGCCTACCAAGGGAGGGCAGCTTGCAGCCTGCCTGGGCCAGGTGCTGCCCTGGAGAAAATGGGATCCTGGAGTCCTCTAACCTAGACCCTTCTCAGTTTATTGCTGCCAGCACCTTAGCATGCCTGGGCAAGGGCTTGGTCCTGCCCTGCCCTCACACCAGCCTGCCTGCCTAGGCTTTGGCCACCTCTTGCCACCAGTATATAATGTGGGGGACGGGGGGCAGTGTTCTTGGACAGAGTGGCCTAGGCCTATCAGCAGGGACTCCTACCCAGAGAGCAAGGAGAAACTGGCAGGGCAGCTAGGGAAATACAGTGCCCCCGCCTGGCAGGGGGCAACGCTGCGCAGGCGGGAGGGTGCTGGTGGAATACGGTAGCGGCATGTGGGGCCAGTCAGAAACAGCACTGCCTCCCTCCCTCGCATTCCTGTCACACTCCTGTCCTCTCCTCGTCCCTGGCTCAGCTGGTCGCCCGGGAAACACACAGACTCAACGTGCCAGGAGTCACGTAGCATCTACCTGAAGAGCCAAGCACTTGCTGTCACCTTCACCCACTTTCTTACTGCAACTGCTGAACAGGCTGAGCCCAGCCAGCTGCTGTCGCCGCCTCCAGGACTCGGGGAAAAGCCCCCTGCAGACTTGGTGCTGCAGGTTCACAGCCCCCGCTCTCTCTTTTCTCCCCAATCCCTCCTGCCCCCTAGCAGCCACTCTTCTCCAGAAGCTGTGTTTTGAGGATGTGATGGGTACAGGTTGGTAAGTCAGGAGGGGGGCCTCCTGGGTTTCCTGGGCCCTCAGGGTCTCACCCACCTTGCTAGTATGGAAACCTCATGCTGGGGCGTACTTTAATTACATTCTCCTGCCATCCTGGAAGAAAGGCAGCTCTGGGATTAAGATCGACGGAGAGTAGGCCAGGCTGGGGACCAGGGCTGTCCAGGGGCAACAGATGGCTTAAATCCTCTCAGATGAGCACCAGCAAAATTTTCATCACACAAAAAAATAAATGGCCATGGGTTCCCAGTGGGAGAAGCACCCCCACCCCCTGCAAGGGCCATAAGAATCATATACCGCCTAGACACCTGAGGACAGAGGAGGAGGAAGGAGAAACCCCTGGTTGCCAGACCCCTATCAAATCGATGAGTAGCAATCAGGCTGCGTGGCCCAGAAGGCTGAACACTTGTCAGCCAGGCTTCCAAGGAACTGGGGCAGGACGAGCCACCTGC